TGGCCTCCGTCTTCACGGGGCTTCTCTGTGTCTGTGTGTCTCCTCTCCCGTCCCTTGTAAGGACACCTGTCAATGGACTTAGGGCCACCCTGGTCCAGAGCGGACCAGTCTCGAGATCCTTAGCTTGCTGACGTCTGCAGAGACGCTTCTTCCAAACAAGGCTCCTCCACCTTGGGAGCACGTGGACACACCTGGCTCGGGGCCACCATTCACCCACTGCACGTGCCCTGCACAGGGCCCGCCCAACCCCAGGTTGGCTGCAGATGCCGTGTTCTTGGATTTTGTAAGAAACGTGCTGACAAACAGTAGAGACCGGCCCTGGGACCGGGGGACTGGGGCCCAGGATATGGTTCCTGGGAGGCCACGGGGTCCCAACGGAGTGAGTCCCCCGAAAAGCCCCAGCTTCGTGGTGACCCAGAGAAGTTCCTGCATCAGTTCTTCTGAGGGGCAGGGGTGGCAAACCTGTCCTGGCCCCTTCCTCGCCCCGCCCCCGCCCCCATCCCCGCCCCCGCCAGCCCGACCAGCAGGAGCCGTCAGGCCCGAGGGCGCGGCTCCCACGGTGATCTCACTGCAGGACGGCACGGGACGCAGGGCGGCCACGGCTGCCAGGAAGGCGCTCGCTCAGCTGCCCGCCTTCTGCCCTCTCGTCCCCGAGGAACCGTGTTTGACTTGGGCGCAGGGGACAGTGTGGCTGTGACTGTGGCTCCCAGGCTGCCCCGAGGGATGGCCTGGCCTCAGTGCAGGAGGTCCCAACCCCACGGGCCTTTCCAGGCCTACGGCCTGAAGCATGTGATCTGGGACCTGAGTGGCATCCTGCTTGGACGGTGTGGCCGCTCCTCCTGTCCTGTCAGGGCCCCTGCAGGGACCGTGAAAGGCAGCACCGAGGCGGCAGGGCTGCATCCGCGCCTGAGACTCCTGGGACCGTCTGCTCTGCGGGGCAGACACTCAGAGGCCGCTTTGTGCCCGCCTGGGAGGCTCCCGCTGCCTGGGACGAGTGGTCATTCAGACCGAGTGTTGGGCAGCCGAGGAGTGGTGGCCGTATTATGATTAAAATGTGAACAGTTGCCACAGGGCTGTGTTGTGTTCAAATGGACTCTGAAATAAAGAGCCAGAGCTGCGCGCCGGCGGCCCAGAGGGTGTGCAGGCCCGACGCCTCTGTTTCCCCTCGCGCTGTTCACTCGGAGGCTGTGCCTCTTCCAGGGGCTGCACCGAGGGCGAAGCTGGACCCCGAGCCTGGGGGCCTGAGCCCTGGTGGACGGAGGGGAGGCGGGAGAGGTGACGGCATCCATCCCCCCGCTTCTGGCCGCTTGGTCTTTTGCATTTTCTGTCCTAACCCTCACCCGCCTACCTCATCTTGGTTGCGCGGGTACAGCGTGCCCACCTGGCAGGGGTCAAGGAGGTTCTCCCCAGGACCAGCTGACCAGGCGCTCTGGCCTCCCGTGCGGCCCCAGAGCACCTGTGCGGGACTTGTTATTCCCTCGCCCCCTCCGTCCGCATCAGTCCTGGGACTGGGCCCGGTGGGCTGAGCTGTCGAAGGGGCTGGGCTGCCCTGGGAGGCGCCTGCTTCCCCTGCACTCTCTCCCCCTGTCCTTCCCGCACTTGGTGCAGAGCCTCTGGGTTGCCTCCGCGCGTCCGGCGGCATCCGGCGAGGGGCGTTCTGTGGCCAGGCCCCTGCACGGCCGAGGCCAGGTGCGCTCAGCAGACTGTCAGCCTGGTCGGCGTCAGGCACTCTGTCGAGGTCCAAGGAGGGCTAGTTTGTCAGATGCTCGGGAACCTGGCATTTCCAGGGCCCGTGCGGTTCTTGCGCAGAAGCGGGGTCTCAGCTGGACCCCAGGCCTCGGGGGCACATCAGCGGGCGCAGCCACGGCCCAGGGACTTGGGCTCTCGACCCTGGTGGAGGGTGCCGCCCCTGGGCCCAGCTTGGTATAGACATCTGGAGGGCGCTGGCACCACGCCGACCCTGAGAACGTGGGAGGGCGGCACGTGGGGCGGGCCGACGGGGCTGAGGACCAGGGACGCCTGAGGAGCTCGAGAGCCCAGGGCTCCCACCGCGGCTCACGGCTCCGGAAGATTCCTTGTGGCGTCCGCTGTCCCGGGAGCCCTTTCCCACCTGTGGGCCGGTCTCCTGGTCCCGAGCAGCCTCTAGGACGAGGTCGGTGACAAGAACCCCAGTCGAGCTCTAGCACGTCGTCAGCGACACCCCCAGGGCGCCCCGGCGGCCACAGCGCGCTGAGGCCTCTGGATCCCCCGGCTCCCCGACCCTTCAAGTAGGGGGCTCGCCAGTGGGGCGGCTGTGTTGCGGGGAGGTTCCGGACTCGGGGTGCGATGCCCGGTGACCCGGCAGAGCCCGTGGTGGGGTCTGGCCGCCGTGGCCGGGCCGTGACCCGCGTTTTCCCCGTGCCGCCGGCCCAGCTCGCTCGGTGTGAGGTGGAGCCGGGTTCCGAGTTCCGGGAGGTTTGGCGTCAAGGAGGCCGGCGGGACGGGGCCTGAGGCCTGAGCAGCGGCCCCTCAGGGCCTGGGAGGCGGGGAGTCCCCGGTGTGGGTCCCAGCTCCCCGACATGCGCATCCTCTGGCCCGCATCCTGCCCCCCAGAAGCACGCCATCCCCGACCCCCCACCCCAGGGCCGGCAGCTTTTCCAGGCCACCCTCCAGCGAGCCTTGGCCATCCTGGTGCACTCAACACCCGCCCGGGGCTTTGGGCCCAGAGGACCCAGGCGGTGGAAGGGGCCCCGAGGGCTGGAAGGCACCTGGATCCCAAGGGGCAAGGTGCTGGAGGCCTGGTCCCATCGCAAGAAGTGCCTGCAGGTAGGGTGTAGATTATGGGCAGTATGAGGAGGGGCATTGGGAACGAGGGGCTGAGAGCTGGTTTGGGGGAGCCAGGGGTTGGAGGTGCGTTCACACCTACGGAAGCAGGAACACATACTCCACCTTTAGTCTCAGTGCAGACCTGTGTTCTGCTCAAGGAAGGGGAACCAGGAGAGGCAGAGTTGCTGTTGCCTTTAAAACAACACCGGGCCCAGCTCACATTTACACCTGGCTCAGCTCACATGCACACGTGGGCCAGCTCACATGCACACCTGGCTCAGCTCACATGCACACCTGGCTCAGCTCACAGGCACACCGGGCCAATCTCACAGGCACACCCGGCCCAGCTCACAGGCACACCCCGCCCAGCTCACAGGCACACCCGGCCCAGCTCACATGCACACCCGGCCCAGCTCACAGGCACACCCGGCCCAGCTCACAGGCACACCCGGCCCAGCTCACGGGCACACCCGGCCCAGCTCACAGGCACACCTGGCCCTGTTGCAGGCACATTGCTAACATGGATTCCCAGCCCTCCTGGCTGGGGGCACTGTGTGCTGATGTCATGCAGAAGCTATGACTGTGGCACATAAGGGTCTGTCCTGGGTCACCTTTTCTATAGGTTTTTCTTCAGATAGTCACGTCTTAAGGGCGTTGCCAGGGAGAATCAGTCTGGAGACACAGGCCTCTTTGTACCTTTTTGGGGCACGGACAGCCTGTGAGGGGCTGGTGGGCCAGGGGATCACATGGTGTCTGAAGACAGCTGGGCCCCCGTGGTGGGATGGTCCCTGGAGCCTGGTGGACACTCTGGGGCAGGCATCCCCAGGTCTGCCCGTCCTGCATCTCCTTCCACTCTGGTCTGTGAGCCCACCTTGCAGCTGCCCTGCCCTCTCCAAACCCTCATTTGAAAATGCAACTCCGGTAATGCAGTCCATCCCCACACCCGCCGCGAATCCCTCATCAGTTCCCAACTCTGGAGCCCGCGGGGTCAGCTGTGCCTCAGCAGGGCCTGGCCAGGTGACACTCAACAGTTCCCTCCACCTCACCTGCCCACCCACCTGTTCCTCCCACCCCTGGCCCGGGTCCCACCCTGGGGACCAGCTGCTGACAAGCCTCACGTGGAGGGAGCAGGGCCGGAGCCCGTGGGGCCTCCGGTTTGCCGCGTCCACAGCCAGCCACGGCGACGCCTGGTCACGAGGTGCAGGCCCACACGTGGATACTGTTCGTCCTCGATGGCTCCAACATCGGCTGTGTTACTTCTACTGCCCCCACCGTCCTGCTTCTCTCCACAACAGGAAGTCACCTTGGAGAGCTTCCCATCTGCATGTAGGGTCTCACTCCTGTTGTTTTTGTTAAAGTAATTTTCAAGTTACTTTATTAAGCTACAAACGTGGAGCCCAGGATGGAGAGCTGGCTCCTGGAGCTTATCACCACATCCCCAGCCATGTCCCCCTGCCCTGAGCCCCGGGGTTCCGGACCATCCTCACCAGCCACTGAGCCTCTTGAGCTGCACTGCCTTTTCTGTTTGGGGAACTTGTAGGCCCTGAGTTCAGCAAGGCCCTGCTTGGGACCCCCACAATGCCAGGTTGCCCACTTCCCCCCGCTGACCACTAGCCATGACTCTGGGGGTGGGCATTGGTGCTCAGCTCCCGGCTCCCCAGAGCTGCTGGAGGGGGAGGGGTCTTCTCAGCCCTGTGGGGACCCGGGCCCAGCTTTGGGCATTCACTGGGCTCCTGACGCCGTCAGCCACCCCCCAACATGAGCCCCCCGTATCCTGGGGACCCCTGCTCTCGCCTGGGGCTTCCCTCTCCTACTAGCAGTCTGTTCGGCCCCCTGGGTGGGGGACACCCTGGTCAGCAGACTGGGCCCTGAGGTGGGCGCAGCAGCGTGACGGGTTCTGGATCCCTTCCCTGAGGATGGTGTCACCCCACCGATGCCCGTGAAGGTGTCACTCGGGGAGCCCCCAGAGCAGGAGGGTCCCGAGTCCCCCAGGAGGCTCCGTGCTGGAGGCTTTGACTGTCGGGGACTTGGCGGCCAGGGCGCTGGGACTGGAGGGTCCTCGCCGTGTCCTGAAGCAGATGGACACTTTGTCCCGGGGTCGCACAGTTGCTGGCAGGCCACAGCCCCTGTCCGCAGGCAGCGGGGGCCTTGGGCAGCCGCCCGCAAAAGCAGGTGACCTCTTGCTGCTTTCTCCCAGTAGCATGGCTGACAGCAGGCCCAGGCCCCCCAAGCCCGCCAACAAGACGCCCCCCAAGTCCCCTGGGGACCCCGCGAAGGACAAGGCAGCCAAGAGGCTGTCACTGGAGTCGGAGGGTGTAAGCGAGGGGGCGGCCGCCGCGGGCCCAGAGCTCAGCGCCCTGGAGGAGGCCTTCCGGAGGTTTGCGGTGCACGGGGACACCAGGGCCACCGGGAAGGAGATGCACGGCAAGAACTGGTCCAAGCTGTGCAGGGACTGCCAGGTGATCGACGGCAGGAACGTGACCATCACCGACGTGGACATCGTCTTCAGCAAGATCAAGTACGTGTGCGCCTGGGACCAGGGGGGTGGGAGCGGGGCCCCGCGTTCTCTCGGGCGGCCAAGAGGCGACGCTTCAGGACGCTGTCCCCGCCCGGGAGAAGACGCCCGGGAGTTTGAACCAGAACACGCCCCCGCGGGGCCGGGAGCCCAGGTCAGGGACGCTGCCGCAGCCTGAGGAGTCTCAGGTGGCAGATCCCGGCCCGTGGGGGGCTGCTGGGGGCAGGGGCACAAGTCCGGGAGGTGGGCGTCTGTGGCACCGCTCCCCTCAGCTCTGGGGGACGTTCGCGTGTGACGAACGGTGGGCACCGTGTGCTTGTCCGTGTGTGTGTCTGCACGTGTGTGCACACGGGCTCGGGCGTGTGGTCCGGGCATCGACACGCCCCCGCCCCTTCTCCTACCCTTCACACCCCGTGACCACACCTTGAGAACAGCAACAGCGTCCCCGAGGCATCACACAGACTCGCACACACACGTGCACGTGCATGCGCACACAGGTAGAGCTCAGGTCTCCACTTGGCTGGTCGCGGCTCACCCGGAGGACAGACGTCCTGGACAGGCCCTGGAGACCCCGTGCGTGAAGGCACACGGGCCCTCCTGCCCCCGGGAAAGGGAGTCCCATCTGGTCCCGGTCCCGCTCTGGAGGGCAGGACGCTGCTTAGACACTCAGGGAGGAGGCTTGGCCCCTGGCGCCCAGGCAGTACGGGGGCCCCACCTCAGAGCCTGGCTGCTCTGGGCCCCAGGGTCTCTGCCTCGGCTTGCTGGGCGCGGGCCGGCGCAGGAAGTGGACGGCTGCGGCCCCGGCCCGGCGAGGGGTCGTGGTCAAGACACAGTGAAGACCAGCCTGTGGCTACTCCCCCTCTGCCCTCCTGGACCTGAACTCCCTGTGGGGTCCCTGTGACCCGTGTCCCACTTGCGAGAGCCTGTTCTGGGGGAGGGTCCCCCGGACCTCCCAGCTGTGCAGCGGGGGACCTTGCCCTTGGGAACGGGGAGGGAGACAGTGCTCCCTGGGGGGGCCTGGGGGGGTGGTGCCCTGAGTCGGGTCGTGGGGTCCTGCAGGACAGGCTGGGAGCCACCCCTGGGGGACCAGGTCTGAGGAGTGTGGGGCGCGGTTGGGGCGTGCGCGTCCCAGCGTGCAGGTCGTGGGACTGCGGCCGCTCCAGGTGGCAGCCGTGGCAGAAGCGCCTCAGCTCGCGGGAGCCGTGGGCGCGGAACCACACGGGTCGCTGACTGCCGATGGCTGTTTCTGTTTGGGGCGGTTGCCATGACTCTGCAGCCCTGCCGCCAGCCCGGTATCTGCAGCCTCTGTTTAGGCCCGTCGCCATGGCAGCGCTTGTTTGTTTGGATGTTACTATGTGTTAAGTTTTAAACAAGCTTCTCGCAGCTCTTCCCCAGGCCTTGATTGAAGACTGCTGTCTCCGGGACCAGGGCTGCCCCCCACCCCGCCCCCCACCCCCCAGCCCCAGGGCAGAAGGAATTAACTCAGGACCCCGTTCCCATAAGCAGCAGTGTCACCCCAACAGTCCCGCCGGGGGTCTGTGGGCTGCAGGGTCCCCTGCGTGTGTGCCCAGGTGGGAAGGCCAGGGAGGCGGAGGGCGGCTCTGCTGGCCCTTCCTGGCCCCCACTCGCCGGCTTTCTGGCCAATGGTGGACTCTGGAGCCCTGTCTGGGCTGCAGGTTAGGAGGACGCACGCCGGGGCGGGGGACGCGGCCCATTCTTGCCGCACGGGCTGCGGAGGGAACCTTCTGAAGCGCAGAGCTTGGCGCATCGGTGCAGAGACCCAGGCAGGGCGGGATGCCTGCGGGAGCGGCGGGCAGAGCCCGGTGCGCTGTGCGGTCCCAGACACGCCCGCGGGGCCCAGCGCCTGCTCATTGCCTGGCGCCTGACCCTGCCCTGCCCCTCCCTGCAGGCTGGTGGGTGAGGCTGCGGCATTCGGGGCCCTGATCGCAGCATGTGCTTCCAGCTGTGGCGTTGGGGGTCTCACAGTGTCCTCCGCGGGGGGCCTCTCCTGGCCACCCGAGGCTGTGCAGGGCATCCAGCGGCTTCTGCCCTGGCTTCCTTGGGGCCTACCTGGCATGTCTACAGAGGGCCAAGGCTTGGGGGGCAGGAACCGGGCAATTCTGCCCATGCTGGCTCCTCAAACCGCTGATATCGGTGTTGGACACCAGTGCACGCAGGCCTTTTGATGACCTTCCCCAAACACCCAGAAGTGGTTTCAATGACCTCAGGTGCATCTGTCCCCAGAACCCATCCCTGAGCCTCCAGCCTGCGTTAGGCCCTCGCGAAGTCAGGAGGAACTTAGGACGCTCTTTCCTGCTTGGGGAGTAGCTGACTGTTGGGGTCACAGCTGCCCTTCAGGCGGCTGGCCTGGAGGTCGCCAGACATGGGTGTCAGCAGCCTCCTTCCAGCGTGGTCCCTGGGGCCCAGGAGCAGGGGGCTGGCGTCTGCCCGCTCCCAAGGCCTGGTACCAGACGTGTGGGCAGCTGCCACATCACACTGCATCCTCACACGGCATCCAGGTCCTCCAGACAGCGCTCCCGTGGCAACCCGCACGGCCCCGCTGGCCCAGGGTCTGATGGGAATATCCCGGAGGCTCCCTCCTCTGACCCTCGTTGGTGCCTGAGTCTCCCCCTCCAGATCCCACTTCCTGCTCTCTGGACAGGTCACCCAGGTCCCAGCTTCTGCTGCTCAGGGGAGCCTGGGAGTCGGCTTTCTCCAGCCCCCAAGTGGCATGTTATCTGTGGTCCAGAGGGGGCCCCTTGCTCCGTCCTAGGACATGTTAGCCAAAGTCCAGCGGCCTTCATGACGCTGGCCCTGGAGACACAGACCTCTGTCCTCGGAGGGCTGCGCTGCCCACCCCCCCCGCCCAGATCCCTGGCCACCGAGTGTCCCTGGTGAACTTCGGGAGTGGCCGGGCTCAGCTCTCTGCCTGCCCTGTGTTGGGCCTGGAGGTCTGGGGACGCAGAGCCTGGGAAGCACAAGCCACGAGGCCTCGTGTGTGACCAGTGACCCCATTACTGCTGGACCAGCTTTCCAGCAGAACAACAGCCTTCTGAGCAGGGCACTGGTTGGCCCCAGCGCTGAGCCAGGAGGAGGGGGGTTTGGTGGGGGGACCCCCTCCAGTTCTGTGCACTCTGGAGAACAGGCTCCCTGTGTGTGGGGAGCCGTGTAAAGTGATCACGTGTCTCCAGGGAAGAGGCTGGCGGTGTCATTCGAGAACTCCCCAGGGACTGCTCCCAGCCGGGGCCATGGGGGCCCCCTGGGGAAAGCTCCCTGCCAGCCCAGACCAGGCTCCGAGACCCTGCCTGGTGGTCACGGTGGGGACACGTGGGGACACCCGGCCCCGCCAGGTGGAGCAGGCAGGTCAGCGCCCTGGGCCCGCACGTCCACTTGATCTGAATGCGGCCTCTGATGGAGGCCCCGTGGGCCATGCCCCCGCCCCCAGCCCGAGTGACTCACACTGGTGGTGCCTGGTGCCCCAGCGGCCGGTCACCAGGCTGGCAGTCAGGCCTGGCATCCGTGAATAGAGACAGGAGCGCCTTGGACAACCCAGGACAAACAAGTGGGGCCCCGCGGCTGTCGCGGGTCAGCAACCAGCAGGGATGGCAGGTTCCCCGCCCCGACAAGGCCAGGACCACGCTGCCCGGGACAGCTGGGCCAAGGGATCCCCCCAGCCCGGCCCACAGACCTCAGAGCCACGGTGGTGTCGCAGCCAGGCTTTGAGGGGTGGAACCCACCGCCGGACACGGGGGCTCCGATGAGGCCTGCGGTCCAGGTGCCCCTCCCGACAGCCGTCCAGGCCTCTTGGGCTCCGCTCACCACCCGCCCACGTGGCCTCGCTGGTGGCACGACTCGGTCGTCCTTCCCATGGCCACTGCGGCTGTGTCCTCCCTCCGCTGTCTCCCCGACCCCGGGCTGGCCGGTCAGCATGTCCTGTGTCCTCAGGCTCACGTGTCAAGTGCCTGTGAGTCCCGGCATGCGCAGGGGACGTCCTGAGGCGTGTTTATCGCTTACCGCTGGGCTGCTGGAGTTCTGGTGACCGAACAGAACCACGAATAGGAGAGCGATACACACGCACAGGTTTACGTGCGAGCGAGACCCAGGAGGGGCCGCGGGGTTGTGTGTGGGTTGCCAGCCCGCCTTCTGGGGGGTGCTGCTGCCTGCACCCTTCCACACCGTGGTGTCCTTTTATCTGGTTTACTTACTTCCACTGTCCCAGTGGGTGTGCGGCAGGGCCACATCCCGGTTTAACCTGATTTCCCTGGTGCCCAGTGACATGGAGCGTCCTTCACGGGCTGGTTTGCACTTGTAGATCTTTGACAAAGTGTTCGGTTCAAATATTTGGCCCAACTTTTTTTTTTGCGGTACACGGGCCTCTTACCGTTGCGGCCTCTCCCGTTGCGGAGCACAGGCTCCGGACGCGCAGGCTCAGCGGCCATGGCTCACGGGCCCAGCCGCTCAACGGCCTGTGGGATCTTCCTGGACCGGGGCACGAACCCGTGTCCCCTGCATCGGCAGGCGGACTCTCAACCACTGCGCCACCAGGGAAGCCCTCGCCCAACTTTCTACATTGGGTTTTTTCTTGTTGTTGAGGTGTGAGTTCTTTGTGTAGTTCAGATACAAGTCCTTTATCAGATTTTCTCCATCTGTGGCTTGTCTTTTATTTCTCTAAACAGTATCTTTTGAAGAGCATGGTTTTAAAATTTTTGGTCAAGTCCAATTCATTGTTTTTCTTTTATGGACTGTTTCTGTGGGGTCGTTCCTGAGAAAATCTTTGCCTAAAGCCAAGGTCACGAAGAGTTTCATTGGGATGCTTATCCAGAAGTTGGATGGTTCGGGGTCTATGATAAACGCAGGATTGTGGTCCAGTTGAGTTAACCTCGTAGACGGCGTGGGACACAGGCCAGGCCCTTTCCTCTGTGCACAGCCTCCGGCCGCTGAAAGGACAGTTCCACCTGCACTCACTGGCTTTTGCAACCTTGTCAAAAACCCTTACATGTGGCCTGTTTCTGACTGTCCTGTGGCCGGTCTGCGGCCATCCCTGTGGCTTTGCGGCCGGTGCTGACGTGGGGGCAGCCCCCTCCCACTCTGCCCTCGCCTCTCCAGCCGGTCCCCTGGGTGCCGTCGGCTGCACTGTCTCGAGCCCTTGGCTTCTGCAGGCAGCCTTTCTGTTGGTCCCCGGGGCACCTCCCCCCACCTCCTCTTACTGTAGAACGTTGAAAGCCTCACCGGATGGATTAGCTGGGGAAGATCCACAGTGGCAGAAGTGTTTTTCAGTTAAAATTCGTCGAGACCAAGAGCCAGTCTAGAGCCATTTTGAAATTGTGAGAATGGACTTCCCTGGTGGCGCAGTGGTTGAGAGTCCGCCTGCCGATGCAGGGGACACGGGTTTGAGCCCCGGTCCGGGAGGATCCCACGTGCCGCGGAGCGGCTGGGCCCGTGCTCCGCAATGGGGGAGGCCGCTGCAATGAGAAGCCCCCGCTCGCCGCCACAACCAGAGAAAGCCCGCGTGAAGCAACGCAGCCAGAGAGGGAAGGAGGAGAAAGAAATTGCGAGGATGACCTACCAGGTCCCGGGCCGCCGTGGGATGCCTCCGGGGGAGGAGCTGCTCCCGGGTCCCGGCTGTGCCCCAGCCCGCCCAGTGCTGGTCGGGCCCCGGCCACGGGGAGGCGGCCCCCAGTCCTGTCCCTGAGTGGGGACCGTGCCCCCCACCCCCTGGCGACCCCGCGCAGGCCGGTGGCCTCGGCCAGGACTGCAGCTGCCTCTGTGCCACGGGATCTGACGTGCTTTTCACCCTGACTTACCCTCTGATGGAGGCCACACGCTCGCCCGCTTTAGAACCAGACCAGGATGTGTTTTGATGTCCAGACGTGCTTCCTTTCAGCTTTGTTCCGAGACGATTTATATTTGCTGCCATTGCCGATGGCAACCGACTGTTGGGTGCAACGCTGCAGACCAGGGCGGGGCAGGGGCACGTTCTGTGTTTTAATGGCAGACTCGCTCTGGGCTGTGGGAAAGAGGTGGGGTGACGGGTCCCCCGATGTCAGCGGGGCCCTGGGTGGGGTGCGGGTCCCAGCCCAGTGACTGCTCAGCGCCTCCTCCCCGTGGGGGGGGGGGGGCCTGGGCCCGGTGGGCGCCCCCTGAGCCCCCTTCTCCCTGCAGGGGCAAGTCCTGCAGGACCATCTCATTCGAGCAGTTCAAGGAGGCACTGGAGGAGCTGGCCAAGAAGAGATTCAAAGACAAGAGCGGTGAGGAGGCCGTCCGAGAGGTGCACCGGCTCATCGAGGGCAAGGCCCCCATCATCTCGGGGGTGACGGTGCGTGCGGCTGGCGGGTCTCGGGAAGGAGGCAGAAGCGTGGCTCCCGGGCGCCGGCGGCCCCCGTCCGCGGTCTGGGCCCCTGGGCTGGACTCGCCCTGGCGGCTTCCCTAACCTCGTTCCCCGCTCTCTTGCAGAAAGCCATCTCCTCGCCCACCGTGTCGCGGCTCACGGACACCACCAAGTTCACGGGCTCCCACAAGGAGCGCTTCGACCCGTCGGGCAGGGGCAAGGGCAGGGCGGGCCGCGTGGACCTGGTGGACGAGTCGGGCTACGTGCCGGGCTACAAGCATGCGGGCACCTACGACCAGAAGGTGCAGGGGGGCAAGTAGCCGGCGGGGCCTTCTCCCGTCGTCCGGTCCCCCCGCCGCCTCACACTTCGTTACATTCCTGTGCTTTGCAGGCAGAACTCGGACCCGGGGCTGGGCGGCCGCGGAGGCTCCAGGCCTGCCTCCCTCCCGCCCGGGCCCGCACTCCCCTCCACCCCAGCTTTGGCCCCGACTCACCTTTCCTAACACACCTGCCTCGTGCCCGCCAGGAAGTGGGCAGATGGCCCTTTCCGAAGTGTCTCCCGGGGCCAGACCACACCGGCCACTGGTTTGCAGCAAAGGGGGCGTTTTAAAGGAGCTGGTGGGCAGACCCTGTCGGGGCGGTGTTGACCCGCAAGCGCCAAGGCACCAACCAGCAGCACCGATAAAGCAGAGGGAGCCCCGGACAGGGCACCGCGGGGCCCGGAGAGCACCACGGAGGTGTGGGAGGCGGGGCTCACGGTGCACGCTTGCACACCCAGGCACACACAGACACACCCACGCATGCACGCACACGCACTGCGCACACACCGCGCGCGCACGCACGCACACGCGCTCAGACGCACAAACCGACCGCCAGGTCTGCGTTGAGGGCGGGCGCCGAGCTGAGGGCTGCCGTGCAAAGGAAAAAGCCTCTGTCGACCAAAGTGACTCGAAGTGTGACGTCACGAGATTTTAAAATGGAAACTAAGGGCAGTTCATTTCACTTCTCTGAGAAGAAATAGGAAACAGTGATGCATGTTTATTCTCAGAACGGCTCAGGGAAGACTTAGAATATCCCGTCTCCGTGACTCCCTCCCGGCGGCCCCTGTGTCCCCGCCCCGAGCCGGGAAGACCCCGGGGGCCCTGGGCTAGAGGCTGTGGGTAGCGCGACGGCTCTCTCCTTGTTCCTCTGGCCGCTGTGGTTCCTCTGGCTTCTCTGGAGCCTCCGTGAGCGGCCTGCCCTGTCCTCCCCGCTCAGGAGTGCAGAAACCACAGGGCAGGACCAGGCCAGGGGGAGGGACCGAGGCCGGTAGCATCTGCGGGGTTTGGTTTCTCTGAGATGCCGGGGCGGGGC